CAGATAGCAGTCAGCTGAAGTGGCCTGCAGTACTGCACCCTAACCACTGCGCCACCTCGGCTCTAATAGCTAAGGATAGCTAATAGCGAAGGATACTGGGAACTCTGGTTCTGTTTTTTTTTTAGAGAGCTTTCATCTTTTCAGTTTAGATCAAGTTTGGCAGCTTGGTCCCTTCAAATACTGAAGCCCCTCTTGTTTCAGGCTGCTATCCTGAGCCAACCAAACAGGAATTGGGTGGGAGTTCATATCCAAGGAGTTTCCTGTGCAGCACATGTTCCTGGCTCCACTCAGCTCAGGAGCGATGCTTAAAAACAAATCTGAAAAAGGTGGAGGCCCAAAATGATTTGGCAATAAGAAGGGCGCTTCCTCAAGTAGTGGTACTGACTCTAAGAAACCGATCCTAGGGAAAACAACTGTCATTTTTCCAAAAGAGCTGGGGAGAACCATCTGACTTCCTAACTCTCTATTCTTTAAATAGAGGGGGTTCGATTTTCTGATATTAATTATCACTATAAGACCTCAGTGTGGTTTCTTTTACCACACTGAAGACATTTCAGGCTACTTACTATATGATGTTTTATATAAGACTAGCTGATAACCCAGCGTATTTATTTATAGGGGGAAAATATCTGGACCAAATGTAATTTCTAATGTTGGATTTTCCCCCTTGACAGAGGGAGCCCCCTTGTGGAGTACTGTGAAGCCGTTACCATCGGAACTCTACTGCGTTGTACAGTAGAAGCCATTTTATGGTAGTACAGTAGAAGCCATTTTAAGGCACAACAAGCTGTATCTTAACAGAACACACACCCCGAGGGGTGTTAGGGAATTAAACCATTATAGAGCTTATTCTATGCCAAGACAGAACTTTCTACCCAAAGGAGGATTGAATGTCAGTGAAAAGAACGCACCTCTTTGCAATATCGAGTGACAGCCATTCCTAAAGGATGCTCACTGCTGGCTTCGGCAGTACCAACAAGAGCAAGGAACTTTTTCAGAGGCAGGGTAGCTTCTGTGACTCCCAGCAAGAGAACGCGCGTGACTCTGGGAACACCGTAAGTCAAGGTTCCGGTTTTATCAAACATCACTGTCTTCACCTGGAAGAAATCATACTGACAAGTGATGGCTTTGCTAATTTGAAACATCCAGAGTATAGTTCCTTTGTAACAGAGAGGGTAGGCTTGCTCATAGGATAGGGCATATTATGAGAAAAGTAGTCCTGGGCTTTGGCAGAATAGTGCCCTCTTTCTCTCTTGGGAAAGGTGCCTCTTTTTATGAATGGCAAACGTGCTATCTTAATTAATAATTAATTAATCTAATTTCTTGACACACATGAATCGACTTATTTCCAAAATCTTAAGTTACTGTCCCTCCTTTAACGTTGAGCAATTTATTAAGTAAATTCTCAGTTATTCATGTTTTGTTAGGTTAAAGTCTCTTTCAAGTCAAACTTGACTCGTGGACATATTTATGAGGTTTTCTCGGCCACATACAGAAACAGTTTGTCCCAACTTTCCTCGAAGAAGCATTCAACTTTGTTAGGGCCATTATCTTACAGATCTGCTAATGTCATAAACGCAAGTCAGACAAAATTTCACATTTTGATCCTTGAGTGCTAAACCAAAGGTTGAGAACAGGAGCAGAATAACTACTTCTCTCTCTGAAGATCAAAAACTGAAGCAATTCCTTATGTAAAACTTGAAATCTGGACATTTCAATTAAGCTGCATATTAAGACAGCAGAATGAAACCATTTTAGTGACAAATCAGTAGTTATACAAAGGAAGACACAGTAAGCCTGGTTTATTTTAAAATAAATTGATTATAATAAATTGCTTGCAGTTTAGGACTAATAGTCATAAGTTAGTGTTGTGGCCCGGCAGGAGCTGTTGGAGCTGCCACCAGACTCTGACAGCGAGGGGCCCTATGAG